AAGCATTCCTACTATGACGTCACGTTTAGCCACACCCACCGACAGGAAGTAACACTGCAAGAAGCAAAAAGGGCATCTTTGAAGGCTCATATCTTAGTGAATAAAATTTTTTAGACTATGGAACACATTATTAAAATGGTCAGGCAATCATATTAAGACCATAAAATAAAAAACTTAATTTGGATGTCTGTTTCCCTTTAAAAACTGAACTATAGTAGAAATGCATTTCATTCTTGTTGATAGTTATACACAATCTGTTAGTAAACTTTTTGTAGTTTACTCAAGGCCTAAGGTCTCAAAATCTTTGAAGCACTCTCACGGAGTTGAACTGAGCCACGTGTTTCCGTATTCTGACTATTCTCTAGGGCACGGTTGTTTATTCAGATCAGCCCCACCCACTTACTTGCAGGATGAGCTCTGCCCCTAGTCTGCTTAGTGACTGTCTTCTTTTCTTTCTCCTTTACAATGGCCGTCAGTATTCCTCTCATATTCAGTCTCAGAAGATTACCACTTGAACTAGCATATAATAATTATTATCTATAAACATTACAGACTGGCTTGAATCTTTAACCCCACCCCCTTTTGTTTCTACAGTCTTACTATATAACAATAATGTTGCAGAAATCATTAAACTAGACTGTGTGTTATAGTGTAATAAAAAACATTTTTTCCAATATTACTATAAAAATCAGCAGAATTATTATAGTGAAAGAAAAGAAAAAACAGTTTTAAAAAACAATAATAATAATAATAAATAATGATAAAACACACTCCGTGGGTAAGTGTGAACTTACATTGCTAAAAGTCTATAAAATAATATTTATTGAAATATCTTTCATGTATCATCATCATCGCTATCGACATCATTGTATCTTGGAGAATCATGTTTCCGTTTCACTCTCTCGACTTCAATGGAGTTCTGCTCAGCCTAAGGAGAGAGAGGAAGAGAGGAGAGAAGGAAGCATTGATTTAACATGAATCAACATACGGACCTGTACTAAGGATCGATGGTAGTCCCTTCTCTGTGTTATCTTCTTTTTGGAAAAGTTTCTCATCATTGGGTCATGAAATGCAATCTAAAGATAGAGAAATAAATGTACATACATGTACAGTGTAGTCTTTATAATGAGGACACCTTTATAATGAGGATATTTTGTAATGTCCCAATTGGTACAAGCCTATACAAAAGTACCTCTGAAATGAGGACACCTCTGTATTAACTATTAAGCCCAATAGTGTCCTTAATAAATGTCCTCACTTGAGTTAATTTGTTAATGTTTGACGATCGCTGAGCCATTGTTCTCATCTTGTTGAATATTTGTATCGAGTTCTCCTGTTTCAGTAATTCTTCCTCGTTCTCTTTGAAGACAGCCATGGCATAGCGGAATAAAACTTTACTGCCCTCGTATAAAAAAGTATCCCAAATCCTGAGAGTGGTCTAAGAGGAGAAAGAAGGAATTCAAGAAATAATAATAATAATAATAATCATAATAATAATAATAATAATAATAATAATAATAATAATAATTTGATGGTTACATCGATTGGGAAGTTATCGATGAAGAGAGTATGAACCAGTTAAAAGTGATCAGT